AAACAGATAGAGGGGATAGCATACTGTATGTACAGCCTATCACATAATCATAAATCTGTGAAGGAAAAATGCCAGCCTCCATTTGGTATTATTCTAAGAAAAATGATGCATTCCAAATTTTCTTTCCTGCTTGTTTTCTAATCATCCTATAAAATTATGCTTATGTTGTAGTGGTCCTTGGGAAAAGCATCTCTGTTTCTAAAACTGGGCCAAGTTCTCAAGAAGTCAACAAGTAAAATACAAATTATGAATATTATTCTAAAGGAGGCACAAATTAATTGCTAATTTCATAGAGCTAAATCTTGAAACCATGAAGTATCATATTTACCACTGCATAAAGGAACTAATTTTCCCAGCCAACAGCCGCATGTTATTTTATTTAGTTTCCAGATAGAAAAACATCAAAATAATTATGCCTCTCTTTTTGGGCCATTTTTTCTGTTCCCCCTCCCCCCCCCCTTTTTTTTTTAGTTTTGGAGGGGCGTTTAAAACAAAATAGGCTTGTTTAAGTCTAGCAAAGTCTTAACAAACTTTCTTTTGTTTGCTACTTCTTAAAAAGCAAAGCACTAAATTACTCAGAGGGAATGATTTAAAGATGGGTTTAACCCTCCAGTGGGATTTGGTACCTAGTTACATAGCAGCAATTAAATACTGATATGGATATCCAAGACAGTTTGGACTTGATTACTACATGGATGGGAGGAATCTCCAGGTTGTAAGTTATACTGGGAAGCTGAAGACCAATATTCTGAGAGGGGGAGATTGGATACCATACTATACTTTGTTTCTGCTATATAGAAACCTGGGGTCCTTGGTGCTCTCTGAGCATGGTTCTTTTCTTGCAGACATTTGATTACCCAGGCTAGGCAACATCATCACAAGCACTGATGATGTTACCTATTTTGGTAATGAAATGTCTGCAAGAAAACAACCAAGCTCAGCACCGAGAACCCTTCATTTCAATTTAATTCTGAAGGTGTTATCCCATTAATTTGAACGTTTTCCAGTTATACTCAATCTCTAAAACACCCTGAAAGTAGGCAGAATATATGGTCATATCCTGACAATATTTCCTGCTACTACTTTCTGTCAGTTTCCAATCTTCTTAACTGTCCTGACTTCCTGATCCAGCAATGCCCAATGGCATCACAGGGAAGTGAGAACAGTCAAGGAGATGGGTGACTACTAGACGAGTTAGTGTCTAAGAAAAAGCAGAACATTCCTGCATCCTACTTAATCACGTTGTCACTAAAATGGAAGCAAAAACATGATACTCAATAGTAATTTACTAACATCTTCTCTGGGGGAGAAGTGAGAAGCATTTTACATCAAGAGGAGGAGGAGGAGGAGGAGGAGGAGGAGGAGGAGGAGGAGGAGATGGAGATATTCTGCAGGGAACTATTTAGAACTGCATCATCTAACAGATTCATTGTACAGGCAGTCCTTAACTTACGACCAAAATTGGGCCCAAAATTTATGTTGTTAAGGGAGACATCTGCTAAATGAGTTTTGTCCCATTTTATGACCTTTCTTGCCACAGCTGTTAAGTGAATTTCTACAATTGATAAGTTAGTAACACAGTTGTCAAGTGGATCTGGCTTCCCCGTTGACTTTGCTTATGAGAAGGTCACAAAAGGGGAGATCACATGATCTTGGGACGCAGCAACGGTCATCAGTATGAACCAGTGGCCAAGCACCTGAGTTTTGATCACATGATTGTGGGATTGTGAACTGCGAAAAATGATCCTAAGACACATTTTTCAGTGCCGCTGTAACTTTGAATGGCCACTAAACAGACTGACGTAAGTCGAGAACTACCTGCATATCCTAGTTCGTGTGCCATGCTAACAAGAAGAGGGAAAAAAGTAAAATGTAGTTATAGCTAAACCTCCCCAGTATTTATTTCTTATTTGTTGATTTCTTTCAGTCTCTATCACTTACCTGAATATGACTGCACTGACCCCAGCAGAATTACCTTCTGACTAGACATGCATAGGATATAACTGCACCTTCGGTGCATTAAATGCAAGCCTACTCATTCCTTGTTAAAGTGGGGCAGCAGTGACAAAGGACAACGCCCAGAGATTGTTGGTCCTAAAACCAGAGATGTGAAGATAGGCCTGCAGCCTTCATGTGGATTTTAGGCTTGCGTGCAAAGATGTATAGACTGATTCCGGAGTTAGGAAAGTTAAATTGCTGAATTAAAATCCAGGAAAATAAAGAAGAATCCCAGGCCCTTAGCAGAGCAGAACCTCTAGCCAAGAATTGGGTGAACACTCCCAGGTCTTGAGCATCTGGCTTAATATTATCTAGTGTTCCAGCCCTTCTCTGGAATTATTTCCCTTTTCTCAGGAAAGCTTTCAAAAGAGAGAAACTGGCTGGATTGCTACCATTGCAGCCCCACTCCAGAACCGTCTAGAAGTTGCATCCCTTTTTTTTCTTTTCCTACTTTGCTGGATATATTCCTTGATTTTTCTTTCTTTTTTTTTTTTTTTAAAAAAAGCAGGAATGTCCATGTGGGCGCGCCCTTTCTTTCCCATCCAAGAAATTGAGAGGCTAGGTTGACACATAACACTAAGCCAAGTTTTACATATTTTTTTTAAACAAGCTCTAATGGATTTGGTCTGCAAATAAGGCAAAGTTACAGTTGAACAAAGGACATTAAAAGTCAGTGAACAGGGAGAACAACACTCCATCGCTGCCTTCCCAAATATTATGTTTTAAAAATTTTTATTTAGAGCATTAATTAAGAATACTTCCAGATTTTGCTTAATGAGGTGACCTTCTCATCTCCTTGACTGGATAATTAGCCTTCATGCTAGCGAAAATTGTTCATCACCCTTTCATCCAAATATGTCCCATTTCTTTCCACCTCAAAAATCTCAGCCACAGCGGCAACTAGGTCTGTTTGGCTACTAGAGTGTGATTGTGTCACATGCCGACTCGATGAACATAAAGGAACAACATTGTCCCAAAGGTGCTTTTTTCAGGAGCAACTGGACTTTCTTGATTTTCTNAAGAAGAAGAAGAAGAAGAAGAAGAAGAAGAAGAAGAAGAAGAAGAAGAAGAAGAAGAAGAAGAAGAAGAAGAAGAAGAAGAAGAAGAAGAAGAAGAAGAAGAAGAAGAAGAAGAAGAAGAAGAAGAAGAAGAAGAAGAAGAAGAAGAAGAAGAAGAAGAAGAAGAAGAAGAAGAAGAAGAAGAAGAAGAAGATATTCTGCAGGGAACTATTTAGAACTGCATCATCTAACACATTCATTGTACAGGCAGTCCTTAACTTACGACCAAAATTGGGCCCAAAATTTATGTTGTTAAGGGAGACATCTGCTAAATGAGTTTTGTCCCGTTTTATGACCTTTCTTGCCACAGCTGTTAAGTGAATTTCTACAATTGATAAGTTAGTAACACAGTTGTCAAGTGGATCTGGCTTCCCCGTTGACTTTGCTTATGAGAAGGTCACAAAAGGGGAGATCACATGATCTTGGGACGCAGCAACGGTCATCAGTATGAACCAGTGGCCAAGCACCTGAGTTTTGATCACATGATCGTGGGATTGTGAATTGTGAAAAATGATCCTAAGACACATTTTTCAGTGCCGCTGTAACTTTGAATGGCCACTAAACAGACTGACGTAAGTCGAGAACTACCTGCATATCCTAGTTCGTGTGCCATGCTAACAAGAAGAGGGAAAAAAGTAAAATGTAGTTATAGCTAAACCTCCCCAGTATTTATTTCTTATTTGTTGATTTCTTTCAGTCTCTATCACTTACCTGAATATGACTGCACTGACCCCAGCAGAATTTCCTTCTGACTAGACATGCATAGGATATAACTGCACCTTTGGTGCATTAAATGCAAGCATACTCATTCCTTGTTAAAGTGGGGCAGCAGTGACAAAGGACAACGCCCAGAGATTGTTGGTCCTAAAACCAGAGATGTGAGGATAGGCCTGCAGCCTTCATGTGGATTTTAGGCTTGCATGCAAAGATGTATAGACTGATTCAGAAGCCGGAGTTAGGAAAGTTAAATTGCTGAATTAAAATCCAGGAAAATAAAGAAGAATCCCAGGCCCTTAGCAGAGCAGAACCTCTAGCCAAGAATTGGGTGAACACTCCCAGGTCTTGAGCATCTGGCTTAATATTATCTAGTGTTCCAGCCCTTCTCTGGAATTATTTCCCTTTTCTCAGGAAAACTTTAAAAAGAGAGAAACTGGCTGGATTGCTACCATTGCAGCCCCACTCCAGAACCGTCTAGAAGTTGCATCCCTTTTTTTTCTTTTCCTACTTTGCTGGATATATTCCTTGATTTTATTTTCTTTCTTTCTTTTTTTTTTTTAAAAAAGCAGGAATGTCCATGTGGGCGCGCCCTTTCTTTCCCATCCAAGAAATTGAGAGGCTAGGTTGACACATAACACTAAGCCAAGTTTTACATATTTTTTTTAAACAAGCTCTAATGGATTTGGTCTGCAAATAAGGCAAAGTTACAGTTGAACAAAGGACATTAAAAGTCAGTGAACAGGGAGAACAACACTCCATCGCTGCCTTCCCAAATATTATGTTTTAAAAATTTTTATTTAGAGCATTAATTAAGAATACTTCCAGATTTTGCTTAATGAGGTGACCTTCTCATCTCCTTGACTGGATAATTAGCCTTCACGCTAGCGAAAATTGTTCATCACCCTTTCATCCAAATATGTCCCATTTCTTTCCACCTCAAAAATCTCAGCCACAGCGGCAACTAGGTCTGTTTGGCTACTAGAGTGTGATTGTGTCACATGCCGACTCGATGAACATAAAGGAACAACATTGTCCCAAAGGTGCTTTTTTCAGGAGCAACTGGACTTTCTTGATTTTCTTTGAAGGAAAGAGCTGAAGAAGCTTCTTGGATGAGAAGCGAAACGTCTTCAGAGAAAAACAAGGAAGTCCAGTTGCCTCCTGAAAAAGCACCTTTGGGAATACCATGCCCTGGATGACTGAAAATCTCCATAAACAACATTGTCTTACCTGCACATAACTTCATGGGTGAGCAGAACTCTGCACATTTCTGGGTTCTTGTTTTGTCCTTCATAGGCGATAGGCTATAGAGAAGGGGAGAATATGGGGGAGTCGGTTTAAAACCAATGAGACAATATTTTCTCTGCTATGATTTACCACTCTGAAAATTAAAAAAAAAACAGACCGAGGAACTGCACATCTTCAAGAATAGCCTTCTCTAACGGCACCCCTTCCATTTACAGACTGGGATCCTGGAAGCTGCAATTCTGATATGATATTTTTTTTAAAAAAAAGCACCAGACTGAGAAGCTTCGTTTTGCATACTGCAAGTGAAGTCTCCAAGCCTTCTTCCATGAAACAGCCGTCACAGAAGATACAAAACCATCCCTGATAAGGTACGGTGACTATTTCTCTGAATAATAAGAAACACAGATAGGGTGAGATGAAAGGATGGAAGTAGAAATCTCACCTGTTTTGTGACTGAATCAATGAGTCTGACAAATAGATCTTGTTCAGTCCTGACACCTACAGGGAATAGGGAGAAAAAAAGGATGAGAGAAGGACAAATTTGGGATTCTTTCAAAGGGTTTATTCCCCACTATAGGCTGCCTTCTCTCTTAGGTAAGCTGTTTAGGTGCACTGTTTAGTGCAGTGATGGCGAAGCTTTTAGAGACCGAGTGCCCAAACTGCAACCCAAAACCCACGTATGCATCGTCGAGTGCCGGGTGGGTGTGGCCCATTGGGTGGGTGTGGCCCATTGGGTGGGTGTGGCCCATTGGGTGGGTGTGGCCCATTGGCTGAGTGTGGCCCATTGGGTGGGCGTGGCCCATTGGGTGGGCGTGGCTGCAGTGGTAATGGCAGACTGGGTGGGACTAAAAAGTTCAATCAATCAATTCCAACTTTGCAAGATCTTTTTTTTCCCCGCGAGAAGTTGAAATAGACTGATCAAACCTTTTTTTTTTTTTGCACACGGCGGTGGAGGCCTAAAGCGAAAAGGTTTTATAAAACCCAGCTGAAGGCCTAGGACTGGGGCGATGGTGCACATGCCCACAGAGAGGGCTCTGAGTGCCGCCTCTGGCACCCGTGCCATAAGTTCGCCACCACTGCCATAGTGCATAGTGCTAAAGCATATGCACATACCATTCATATACAGACACCTTCATGGTTCATCACATCTACCTTCCTCAACCTGGACCATCCATATTCCGTGGATGATCATTATAACTTCTAGGACAGCGGTTCTCAACCTATGGGTCGCGACCCCATTTGGGGTCGATCGACCATTTCACGGGGGTCGCCAAGCAAGGCTGTCCGCCATTTTTTTCCCTTTTCCGGCGGGTGCCTTACCTCCCTTGGGCTGGGCCAGCTGGTGGTTGGCCTGCTCCGTCTCTGCCGCTTGCCAGCTACGCCTCGGCCGGCGCAGGGGGCGGAACCACGCATGCGCGGTGCTCCCGGGCAGGGAAAGTCCTTGACTTACGACCAGTTGGGTAGTCCTCGACTTACGACCGGTTGGGGGTCGGGGCATTAAAAAGGTTGAGAACCACTGTTCTAGGAGACCTAATCAAGGCTAGCAATAGTTACTATATATCAATAACGCCTTCCTTTCTAACATTTTTCATCAGTCCGCACTTCTCTCCACTCTACGTTTTCCTTCTTCCTTCCCTCTCCCCATTTTCCATGGTGACCTCTAAGCAGGACATATGGGGCAAATGCAGTGGTGGGATTCAGCCAGTTCGCACCACTTCGGCAGAACTGGTAGCTATTTTTTTGTTGCCCAGGCCCAGGATGGACTTCCGGAAGCAGCATCCACACAGAGAACCGGTTGTTCCCATATTTGAATCCCACCACTGGGCAAATGTCCAGGGTGTTATTCAGCAGACTAAATCAGAAGGCCTTCAAAAACATAAGGCAGATTGCCTTACCCTGTTTTAATAAATTAATAATATGTCATTGGATCCAAACCAAGTCACACTTGGAATAGTTAGATTAAAACTGCCCTTCAATGAAGTTTGACTGCCCTTCATGAAGCATTCTCAGCAGTTACCAACATGGTCACTGCCTTTTCCAAAAGTTGCTTATTTGTTCATTCCCAGTCTAGAAAACAGCTTCAGAATTCCCAAGTGGTCCCTCATCTCAATATTAACTGAGACAGTCCACTTAATTTCTAAGATCCGCCAAAATTGGCTAGGTGCCGCTTCAAATAGACCCATTACAATCAATGGAGCTTAGGTTATTCACAACCAACTTAAGCCTCATTGATTTCATTGGCTCCAGCCCAAGTGTTACATCTGGATTTAATCTTTTGCCATTCCCTGGTACAAAACCATCTAGTCCCACATCTGAAATTATCAGACTGAACCATGACTAATAGATTCACTATCCATCCTTTCTCTGCTTACATTCACAGACTGTACTAACCCAAACTGTGATTTGTTTATTTGTCACTTAGTGTAGTCTACAAATCCAACTGTTGTGTTTTGTAAGCCATAACTAAAGGATCAGTGTGTTATTGGAACCAAAACGTATTTAATAAATCATACTTAAACAAGACATACATATAGATAGCTAGGTATGATGTGTGAATTAGGTTACTCTCCCACATACAAAGAGATACATGTAGAGTGCAATCTACAGTCTAATCATGTCCCATCTTCCCCTCCCCACTGATCAATTTCAGAAGAGAATTGAAGATTCTGATGGTTGCAAGACCAGGTGATGCTCCTCAAACATACCCAAAGAATATAAAATACAGAGAGCATCCATAAAAATAAAATAAAAAAATAAAAAGTCATTCAAATTTGTGACCAGGGTTCTGGAGAAATGATGTACCATGAATGGAATCTTTATGAAAAGCAGTTGCTTTCCACCCTCTGGATATAACAGGTGTGGTCAGGAAGGACAACAGCTTCCAATAAAATGTTGTAAAGGTAGGCTGAAGGCCGACTCAGCCTCACGGGCTGCAAATCTTTAAAAGTGGTAACCCTGGAATATCTTTATTAGAATAAATGAAAGAATGTGCAATCTTTTCTCGTTCTTGACTAAGATAGCAAATGTGATGCTTTCAAAAAAGTAATGCAGAAATCCCTTATTATAAAAAGGAAACGCCAGTCTGGATTTGTACAGTAGAATGTGTTGCTGATGCTAATAGCATCAAACTGAAATTGACTTGAGATGCAATGGGCTCTTTGGGCGTGTTTAGTCATTTGTTGACTCTTGCAAGTTGTTTGGGGTAGGCATGCCACCCACCCACTCTGGTGGCTGGGTAAGTGTTCTCCCACCCAAAGGTAGCCTTCCTTTGTAGCGTTCCTAAACTGACATTTCAAAAGTGGTTCAAAACTATAGCACAAACCCCTGGGGAGATATCAAAACTACATACACATTACACAATTATTTGACATTCATACAAAGTTGGATGTTGACACATATATTCACATTTGTCACCACCTGATGGAGACTAGGAGATCAAATCCACCATGTTAAAAAAAAAAAACAACAGTGTTCCACATTGCCATGTCTAAGAGCAGCAGTATCAGTCATTAACCCTTCCCCAACCTAATGTTTTCCAAGATGTGCAGTATTGGAAGACACCTTGAGGACTAGTGTAAGACCCCGGGAAAATGCCCATACTGGTTACAGGTGATGGAACCTTCAGCTAAATATTCCAATGATATTTAGTATATTACCGTAGCACCCTTCTCTGGCACACACAAAAAAAAGACAAGCAGAAAAAGACAAGGTTTAAAGTAGACTAAGATTTTTTTTAAAGGAAAAGAAATTTCCAGAGAAAGGGAACAGCAAAGAATGTCCATATTGCTGCCAAGAAAATTACACAACCTAACCATGAAGAATATAGGTGTGTCCATGACACCACCAGGGGTTGAAAGGTGGCTTCACCTTTTTCACATCTGGAGGGCACCAGGTTTTGGGAAAGCTACCCTGGTAATTAGCCTACTCCTTCATGGCCCCGTTGTTGAGAGTAAACTGGGGAAGGACTTACCATTGCTGTATAGAAGCTGCAATTTGTAGTGTGTTCCATTATTTGTTTTCTCGTTGCCCTGTTCCTGAGAAATGAAGAAGAAACAGAAAAACGGTTTAGGAAGAATCTGGGTTCACACATCACACTAAAACCCTTAATGATGACTTATTGAGTAAATTGCTAGCTTGAGTTGCCACTACTAGAAACCATGGCTTACAAATCACCATGGCTAGCCTGACACAACACAAGGAACCAGATCTTTGTGGTTACCGGGATGTGTGAAGCCAGCTAAAGAGTTCCCGGAAATAAACTCATTCAGTCCTTGCAGCCACAGAATTAATAGCAGCATCACCATATTTCCTGGTCAGAAGTAAGTCCCAATAACTGTGTTTATCAGTGCTTACCTATGGTAAGCAAAACTGAATCATGGTTTACTTAATTAATCCAATTTTCTCAACCCCGTAGCCTGTAGAATTATAAACTAGACATACCACACCACACAAGTCGGAGGCTTAATATGATCTACAAGTTGCAGCCTCTAAACTCAACAGAAGCTTAGTGAAATGGCAACCTGGGTTTATTAAGTAAATTCCCTTTTAACACTAATTACAATAGTTAACTCAGGCAAATTGATATACAGTTTGCTGAAAAGTTGGTTCTGTTGGGCTCCGTCGGCCCCTGGTCCCAAACAACCTGCATAATATTGTCCCAATTTAAGACTCACAGGAGCAAGAATTCCTGAACAGGAGGCAGATTTTCCAACAAGCCTTACATTTAACCGTCAATCGCCTTTCCCCAAGGGCTGCATATGCCAGCTTCATGTGAATACCATTCAAGGGGAGATACTTTGTGGTTTGGGTCCTACTAAAATAACCAGGAAAGGAAGGACAGCCTGTTGGGCTAGTTCTTTTTCTTTCTGAAACTTCACAGAACTGGACACAATATTTCACAGCAAACTAGTGTCAGTTTGGCAAAAAAAAATATCCAAGGGTGTGAAGCAAAGAAACTGAAAATAGGGCAGTTGACATTCTTTCTGTCAGAACCCAATCAAGTAGTAAACTTCAGTTTAAAAACTAACTGGGGCACCTGAACAGAGTGGAAAGTTACAATATAAATTCTGGCCAGTTGCAACACCCCTTCTTTCTCCTACAACAAGAAGAAGTTGAGTCAAGGCTACAGCCCTAAACCCTCACCTGTTCTTTTGGAGAAGACCTGTCCCTGCTTCCTAAGGAGTAAATGTAGGGAGGGGCAATCTAGGCTTAGGTGTGAAACTAACAAGGCCGGCAGCCTTGAACTGCAGCCGTGAAATTGACTAGCCTAGCGCTCCTGGTTGCAACCTGCAGCTGCAACAGGGGGCAAGTTCTCCTTTTCAGTTAGAAATCACCAACTCTGCTGCTCTCTCCCCTCAATTCGGATTCGAGTAAATCCAGAATCCCACCCTACCTTGGGGAACCAGGCAAGGGCAGCATTTAAACTCCAGACTGAAATTGACCAAACCGGGCCTGCCTGTCGTTTGTTTGCAAAAAAAAAAAAACCAGGAAGAAGGGAAAGGAGAATTATATTATTCGGGAGCCCAGCTTGCTAGGATCACTTTTGTTTCTGTTTTGTTTTGTTTTTTGTTTTAAAGAAACTGCCTGGATGCCACTCTCATTTCGGGAAAGACCTTTTTGTTTTTTTGGGGTTTTGGTTTTTTTTTGCAAGCAAGAAAGGCAAGAGAGTCCAGTGAGTGGGGACGGGACGAAGCCCAGAACGCGACCCGACCCCCCCCCTTACTTTGTCGTTTTCCACGAAGTCCACGAAGGCCGTCCGCTCGATTTCCACGGGCTGGCCCTGGCGGTCGTAGAGAGCCAAGACGAAGTGGAAGAAGTTGGATTTTCTCAAGTTGGAGGGCGGCTGCTTCTCGAAGTGGGCTCGCGACAAAGCCACGCCGCTGGAGAGGAAGGAAGGAAGGAAGGAAGGAAGGAAGGAAGGAAGGAAGGAAGGAAGGAAGGAAGGAGAGAGCAGCCGGGGTTAAGGCGGCAGGACGAGAGACCGACCCACCGACCGAGCGCGGCCCCCAGTCACCCCCCTTCCCACGCCCTCCGGCCCAAACCCACGCGCGGACCAGGGCAGCTGTCTCCGGGACGCAAAACAGGCTCACTCCGGCTTTTTCTTTTTTCTTTTTTTATTAAAAGTTTTATGAAGATTACAGTATAAACCCCCCACCCCAAAACCCCTTCCTCCCCCTCCCCCACTTCCCAGAGCTGAACACAGGGTTACAAATATAATAATCAAAATCTATCTAGCATTAACCAACTATTAAAACAACCAAGTCCATAATGCGCTTTAACTCCCCCCTTTAACAACATTCCGGCTTTTTCAAGCAGACTTACCTGCGCAGGAAACTTCCCCGGCTTTGGACGCCTTCGCTTTGGAATTATGAGCCGGCGCGGGAATTTAACCAGCTGTGACCGAGGGAAATTACCTTTCCTGGGTTAACGAGTCGTGTGAACCCAGCCAAGGGCTCTCTGATCAATCATAGCCTGGGCTTGGCGCGAACACAGCCCGTGGAGGTCTTTTTTTTAATAAGCGTTGCGCTGTTAAGCTGCCTTAGGTTTGGACCGGATAAACCGTGACTGAGTTCACACATTACGCAAAGCCGGATCCTGTTCCTATTGGGGTTTTCGCCTTCTCTTAAGAAGCGGGTCGGTTTTTATGTTTGGGGGCCTTGGGTGCAAAAAAAAACCAAAAACAAAAAAAAGTTTGCGGAGTGGAGAATCCGTTTTATTAGACTCCGCTCAGACGACGTGCTAAGCTTCTTAAGCAAGCATTTATCCCACCAAACTCAAATGGCTAGTTGTCGGATAAGCTGGATCAGAAACCCCGGTTTGGAAACCGAACTACTGTGTTCAAGCAACACTCCTACGCTCCACAAACACACACAGCGTCCCCCCCCCCCCAAAAAAAAGCCTTCAAGCCACTTTAGGATTTAGCCCGTCGTGTGAACCGGACCGCGGGCACAGAACGCGGGCCAGAGCAGCGGAGATTCTGCGCCTGTTCCTTTTCGAGGCACTTAAACGCCTTTTTCTCGTTCCGTTCCTGCAAACCGAAACCTACGTGTGCACGGTGGATTTTGACCACGGCTAACTTTCTAAAGTCGGCCCCGGGTCTAAATAAACCACGGGCTCATCCTTTGACCCAGGTTTTGAAGCTGCAACAGCCAAGCCCAGAAACTATCCACCCGCTGGATTAAACGAACATTCAGAGGGCGAATTTGCCCCTCAATCTATCCAGGGAATGTTAAGAAGTTATTTACAAACTTTCTCCCTTGCCGTCCTCCCACTTCATCCGGTCGTGGACGCGGGTGGGGGTGCCTACTCAAGCCTCGAGTCGCTTGTAAGAGCACGTGAAAAGAAGAAAAGGGACAGGCGAAGGAGGAGGAGAGGGAGAACAAGAGGTTCACCTGCTGAATTTCCCGTTTTCTCAACAATAATGTTATTATCCCTGGGCTTTTTATTTTTTCCTCCCGCAGTTCTGAAACTGAAATTGCGAACTTTTCAGTTTTACGCACCGGCACCCGAGCCCTAGGCAGAACCAGCGGGGTTTACTTGTGAGTAGACACGGATAACCGTTTTATTTTGCCACCTCCAGCCCTGTAGAAGGGCTTCCTTCTCCGAGCGCGCAGCCATCGATTATTAAACAATAATCGGGGTTAAAGCAGCTTGAAGAGAGAAACTTCTATTGTCCCTTCAAGTCTTTCAAGATACTTCATATCTCCTCCACCACCACCACCGCTAAATAAAATTCTGGTTTTAGATCCGCTCCATTCCTCAAGTGATTGTTAAAACTAGCAAGGTTGTCCCGAAAACTCCGGTGAGCTTTTGTTATTTTCAGAGAAAACCCACAGTATTTTTGCGCCGCTGGGCTTACACGAAAATAAGCCCCCTGGAAATCAGTTGAAGCCACTTTCGGAAGAAGCTAACGTTAACCCCTCACAACTGCCTGCATTCACACAAGCTACTGAACCACAAACAAGCGGGACATCTTTTGGCTGAGCTAAACAGGAATAGTTTAGGATTCCTCCCAAACAAGAAAACTGGATCAGTTTGAATAAATGGTACTTGAGCCAGCCACGAATAAGAAAGTCTGGGGAACCCCAACCCCGAGGCGGCAGCATTTCCCAGACTGACCCAGGTCTTTAGGCCGATGCTGCGGGCGGACCAGCAAGCTAAAAGGACCGGGCGGACAAAGAGATTGCGCTGTTCCAGGAGTCTAATTCGGATCAATGACGGATGAGCAACAGCGGTAAGGGAGCCCTCTCTTCTCTTTTTTCCATAGGGTCACCGACGCCTATAGTGCGCATTGATTGGGGCAGGAGAGAAAGTAGAGGCTGCGCTGGGTCGGAAAGTTTATGGATTGTTCACCTAAACACAAGATATAAGATATAACACAAGATATAACCGCCCTGAGTCCGTAAGGAGAAGGGCGGGATAAAAATTAAATAAATAAAAAAAAACCGATTCATTAAAAAAACAAAAAACTTTCCCGGAGCTGCGAGCTCTGTCTCTCCCTTCTCCCACCAAAAAATACATTTTTTTTAAAAAAAGCTCCAAGTTTCAAATATTCCAACTATTTGAACTGGGCAATGAGACGATCCACGCACTTGCTCGGAGGGGAGTTCCACCGGATCACTTGGAAATCAGCGCATCTTCCCCACAAACCCTTCGATCCGGCGTCAAACTGGCCCGGAAATCACACTGGAGCGTGTATTTATTCCAAGCCCAGCTTCTTTTGGGACTTGGAGTAAGTACAACCGTTGGCGCTGCTCTGTCTGTTTACTCGAGAGTGAAGCTCCCGAGGATTTTAGGAAGCTGGTGCCAACGTTTTCGCAGCCTCTCCTTGCCCTTTTCCAGTTCTTCTCTTCCTTTGCGCCGATCCTACGGACATACTCTAAATACTCTAGTCTGAAGGAAATTTTACTGGCTTCCACCGACCTTCTGTAAACCAAGAGATTTGGGGGTGAGGCTTGAAAAGTCCACGTTTAAAGAAGTGAAAAGTCATTTTGTGTATACTTGTCAAGCTGAAGGGTTGTTAGGATTCATGTAGCACGCAACAATCAAAGCACAAGTTTTTTGTGTTCCAGTCCAGTAAAAGTCACCGGGGTTGAATTGGCATGGATAGATCCATCTCACCGCTTAGGAACAAACTTGTCTCGCTTAAACGGGATCTGTTTCTCCATACATGCATCTTGATTTAAACTTACAAGCGACTAGGAAGGGTAGCCTTACCCGAAACGCACTTTTTACTCATATCGAATTTCACCTCCAAAAACTTAGGTCCGGCAAGAATGGTTTTAGGATCGGAAGAGCGACTCTCCTCTCCAAAGGACCAGAAGTATCAACTTCCCAAGCTAATGTATTTAGAAGGCCAGGGACTAATTTGGGGGAGCCTTCGGTTTAAAATTGCCCTTGGACAGTCTTTGCATCCCCTTTAAATGAGGAACATTTGTAAGGGAAGTGCGGGTGTGTGTGTGGGGGGGGGAAAGAGACAGTCAAATTCCCTTGCTGGGGGTGATCTAAAATCGCCTTTCTTGGCAGCTACCGAGAGAATCGAGACAGATTTGATTTCTGGAGGAGAAAACAAACAAGCGTACAAGCAGGCGTGGAGTCAGAACGGTAAAAAAAAAAACCAAAAATCGCTTTTTAAGAATTGTGTGCGTGAAGCTCACTCACCGAAAGATTCCACGAGAGATCTGGGATCTTTTCTTTTTCCTCCGGAGACTTGGGGGGGGGGGGGCTGCTGCTGTCTAGTTATGTGGCCCCAGGTGGGAAGGCAGGAAGACCTGCCCGAACCGCACGAGAGAGACCCCCGCACCCCCGGCGAAGGTCGACCCTGCTTTTTCTTCTCCGAAGGGAGAAGTTGACACCCCAAGAGAGGAAGGAAAGGACTTAGGTCTACTCCCTTGAAGAGTAGACCAAGCCAATTCCCGGGGTATCCTGTCCCTGGCTTCCGAGCCGAACTTTTTGCGCCTCGGAAACTCGGGGGAGTTTACCGGCCCTTTCTCAGCGCGCAAATCACCCCCTGCATCCGACGCCAAGCGGGTTCCTCTCCTTTCAAACCCCCCTTGAGCTCCAGTGACCCCTGAGGGGGTCGGAGTAGGGTTTGCAAGGCTCGTAGGGGCGGGGGAAGGAAAGTTTACAGGTCCCTTTTGCCACCCGGCTGAAGCCCCTTTCCGCGGAGTCCAAAGGGCTTTTTTTTACTCCGGGGTAAGACTTTATTGTTCGCGGCAGAGGTCAAAGCGAAGCGTGCTGGGGCGCAGGAGTAAGCAGAGAGGTCGGTTATTGTCTTGCCTCTTTACGGCGTTTGGATCCCAGCGGCGGCAATTCTGCTCGCTTGGAGCCAGAAAGCATCCCGTTTCAGGAGCAATCGAGTTTTGGGGGTAACGCGTCCGTGGCCAGCCCCTCCTCGCCAAGCCCGGATGACAACAAACTTTGGGGCTTAATTCAAACTTCTTCCACAAAGTCCCGCTTTGATTCTCTTCCTGGCGCCCGTTTAAACGGGCCTGTCCCGCGCAGAGTAAAGGGCGCCTACTTTTAATCCGTGGGGAAGCATCGCGCGGACCCTCTTTGCCGGAGGCTGGCTGCGAAGGGCGACCCCGAATTCGGGAAATCCCTGAACTCAGCAGGCGTCGCTTCCGATCCTGGAGCCGAGAAGCCAGCCTGAATGGAGAGCAGGCCCGGGCGAATAAAGCGGTGCAGAGCGGGCGTTTCCTGGCGTCCACGCTTCAGAGGCCAGCTCCGTCTCAGTTCACACAACACAGGAAACTCTCAAGTGCGATTTGTTTGCTTTCGACTCGTTGCGTTCCGTCAAGCCCGCCAGTTGTCGTTTGAAAGTCGCGCGGTCTGAGAACCCGGGCGATGTTGGTTTATTTTAGGAAGCACGATTGATTGACTGAGCCGTGTCTTTGCTGCGCTGTGTGAATTCAGCCCGAGTCGGAGCGCGGGGAGCCCGCATCCGCTTTGCTTCCCCTTTAGTCATTCGCCCAGGTCAAGTTACTAAACTTCCGGGCACCTAACACCCTAAAAGTGGCGTGGCCTTCTAAGCCAAGAAGTGCAGAGATGACCCCGACCTTGCCTGACTCCGATATCAAGTTCCATGCATTGGGCTTTCCTAGCCGGGAACCTAACCTTTGTTCCAGAGAAAGTGGCCCGTTGAGTCCACTTGTTTAGTACGATTTTTTCGACGGAGTTTGACCTGAATTCCAGATCCAAGCACACAACCATTTTCTCACAGTGCTGTAAGCTACCGTTTGGCTAACACGACGTTAATGAACAAGCCACCATTGGCTGGTGTTCGCAAAGCATCCGCGCCAGCCATCACCCTTGTCACCCCTCAGCTGCCCAGTTCAACTCAACCCGCCAACCAAATCAAATCACAGACGGGTCGAACGGGGCTTGTGTGAATCAGGCCTAAATGTCATTTGCGGTTCAGCACTAACTTCACCTCCGCTTTCCAGAGGCACCTGCCCTACACGTTTCCTTTGGATGGGGTTAGAATTAGCGCGGGCTGGTCAGAAATAGAGACCCTGACATAAAGAAGAATAAATCGGGTCTCGGTTTCCTGCAGATGGACGTCGTTCGGTGCCGAGATTTTAAAAGCGCAAATTCAGTTGGGAAGTTCGTAACTCCTGGCGGAGCAAGTTCTAATGAAGATCAGGCGAGCAGGCGACCACTACCCCATCCTAGAGACGTTTGCGCGAGAAAAATGAGGGAGGGCAAGACTTTCTTAAGAGAAGAAGCGGGGCAGCCTCTCTCTAGGATCTTTCCCCCCCCCCAAGTAAATCTGACGCCGCGCATCAGCTCCTGGAGAGCTGAAGAGGCGAGCTTGGCTGACCTGCTGGAGACTCCAGCATCCTAAGCTCGGCCGAAGAACGGGCCTCTTCGTTTGCTCGGGGCGCAAGTGCCTTTCACTGCCTACCGAAAAATAAAACCCAAGAAGACTTCCTTCTAAGTTGACTAGGCCAACAGAACCTCCCCCCCCCACCCTCGCCATTCCTCGAAATTGGCTTGGCGTGCTGCAGAGAAAGCGCCGCGTCCTTCTTTCTTAAGGATGAGCGCAACTTCCCAGCCCAACTTGAACGTGTGCAAGAAAGACATAAACCCAGGAAGAGATCGGGCCTGGGACCGGTCATCTAAAGGGGGGGGGGGGGTCGGGGCTGAAGAGCAAAGAGGGAGACGGCAACCCACCCACACCCACCCACACCCCCCATGCCCAAGCATGCAAACTCAAGATTTGCTCTACTTTACCTTTGAGCGGCGACGTTGGCATCCACCACGCCCACGTTCCTGACCCAGGAGCGGACCGGATCCATCTCCGACCCCAGCACCTTGTCTTTCAGGATCGGCCCTCTTCCTAACGTATCTTGGATCCCGAACATTTAATATATCTATATATATATATATTTAAATTATTCCAAAAACCCAAACTAGGCTTTGTTTCTTTCTTTCTTTCCGTGGAGCAAACTTCCAAAGCAGCGGCACCAATTCCTCTCCGGGCGAGATCGGCCTCCGCTATTTTCAAGGCGAGTTGCGTGGAGGGTCTTGAAGGGGTTTGATTCCCCCCTCCCCTACTTCCTCTTCTCTCTCGCCCCCCCACCACCACCGGTCCTTTCAAAACAACACAAAGCAAGCCTTAAAGCGAGATATAAGGGGGAGGGTCTCTTGTGCGGACCCCCCCTCCCCTCTTTCGATTTTTTTTTTTTTTTGAAGAAGTCGCGGCGCTCTCAGCCACTTCCGAGGCGGCGAGTCATCTTCTCAGAGAGCGCGGAGAAAACCTGCCAGCGTCGTCCTTTCTCCTCCCTAACAGGCGCAGGTCACCTGCTCGCCGGAGACCCGGCGCTCGGCTTGCTCGGGCGGCTGCCTCGTCCACCAGGGGCGAGAGAGTCAGACCGAGCCGGGAAGGAGCGCAAAAAAAAAAAAAAAGTGGGCGGTGCAGAGAGAAAAAACGCCTCGGGAGGGAGGGAGGGAGGGAGCGAGAGCAGCAGGCTCAGTTGCCAAAGGCGGAGGCGAAGCGCTGCCGGGGAAATTCTGATTTGCACCCTTGAAAACTGGCGGCGGCGGCATAAAAAGCGCGCCCGCTTAGCCGGACCGAGTTCACCATGAATGGGGGACGGCCGGGGGAGCGAACGTCCTAGGGAAAGGGGCGGGGCGGCCGGCCAACTGAGGCGCGCCGGATTTGCATAGGCTCGCCCCATTGGAGGAGAGCAGGGAGAGCGGCTCTCCAACGGAGACAGGGCGACGCGCGGCGGTCCGGCTTGCAAGGAGAGCGGGAGGGGGGCGGGGCGGGGCGGGGCGAGGCGGGGC